CTTAAGGACTTGATTGTATAAACCCACAAGGAATATAAATAAGGGAAAAGGCCAAGTTATCAAACGATTTTTTTTTTTCTTTGGGTACCATACGAAAAGACAACATTGCTAATTAAAGATCAAATTAAATCTTGTAAAAGATAAATTACAATTATTCATGATCGATAACACTATTCATGATCGATCGTAAATATCTTCAATTAATTATAATTTCATGTTTACAAGATGTAATTTGATTTAAAAAAAATAATAATTTTTTTATAATTAATCATAATTCTTTTAGTTATAACTTCTCCTTAAAAAAATAATAAATATCATGATTTTCATGATAGGTACATTCGGTAGTCGTCATCATAAATAAAGAGTAAGATTCGAACTTCCCAATGACTATACATCACAACTATAAAATAATTTTACGTAATAAGTATTAATTAGGTGATTAATTAAATACTTTCTTCTTGTGATGGAGATTCGAGAAATAAAAAAAAAAGATGCAATTATCCTAGTTTCTGAGGTAGGCCACATGTGGATGGTGATCGACGTGAATGAGACGACGACTTCTATGTAGGAAAAAAAAATCATAAACTCAAGGTAAAACATAGCTCAACAATTTTTTTAGGTCAGATCAGAAAAAATTTATCCTTCATAAATATTCTAATTTCGGCATGGATAGCTTGTTTTTTATCTGATTGAAAAAAATAATAATTAAAATACAAATAAATTAATCCAAACACTCACCGGTAAAACAAAAAAAAATCAAAGATCTCTATGTGTTCTCTCTTTCTTTTTTAGAATCACATCTTCTTGTAAGTAGGTTGTCCTAATTATAAGGATACAAGCTAAAATCCTTACCAAATCATTTATAGTAACCTAGTGGTTGTAGGCTTTGAAGGGGGTAGTTAAAGTGAGATCGTGGTGATATTATTTTACGAGTTTTGAATATTTTGTATTATACTCTTTGTCAATTTCTCTATATATGNACGTAGGGAAAAAAAATCATAAACTCAAGGTAAAACATAGCTCAATAATTTTTTTAGGTCAAATCAGAAAAAATTTATCCTTCATAAATATTCTAATCTCGGCATGGATAGCTTGTTTTTTATCTGATCGAAAAAAAAATAATTAAAATACAAGTAAATTAATCCAAACACTCACCGGTAAAAAAAAAACAAATCAAAGATCTCTATGTGTTCTCTCTCTCTTTTTTAGAATCACATCTTCTTGTAAGTAGGTTCTCCTAATTATAAGGATACAAGCTAAAATCCTTACCAAATCATTTATAGTAACCCAGTGGTTGTAGGATTTGAAGGGGGTAGTTAAAGTGAGATCGTGGGAAAATAATTTTACGAGTTTTGAATATTTTGTATTATACTCTTTGTCAATTTCTCTATATATGAGAAATAATTCGTCATGAATTTTTAAATGCAACATAATAAATGTAAGTGGGTCACTCATCAAATTAAGGATTAAGGTTTAAAAAAGAGAAAAATTATTGAAGGAGATTTGAATTTTTTTTACGATTATTTTTCTATAATTAGGGTCCAATATCTGTATTTTTCATAAAATAAAATAAAAAAGAATATGCCACACTATCAATATTTATTGAGACTCATTACTTATTCAATAGTTGAGATTATCAAGTCTAATTTTTAAGTTCATCTAACATTACTCATAAAATATATTAGACTCCGCTTTTTCATCCGTCTTAACTGTGAAAATTGTTCTTCTTGTTGGCTTGGCAAGCAAGAATCATGCATATGCATTGTTCACTTTATTCCCCTTTTTTTCAAATTGAATAAGCTACTTTCTCATGTTTTCGCGTTGTTGAGGTTGAAGATATAGTCGGCGTAAGTCTTTGAATATTTTATAACAAAAAAGAAAAATAGAAAAAGTGTATCATCACTTCAATCTAATTGAAAATAATGTAGATAATTATGTTCGTCCCACATGAAAATTCTCAAATGTGGTTAATTACATGATACCGAGGTGATTAACACAATTAGTCAATTTTAATTTCTTTTNACGCTACTTTCTCATGTTTTCGCGTTGTTGAGGTTGAAGTTATAGTCGGCGTAAGTCTTTGAATATTTTATAACAAAAAAGAAAAATAGAGAAAGTGTATCATCACTTCAATCTAATTGAAAATAATGTAGATAATTATGTTCGTCCCACATGAAAATTCTCAAATGTGGTTAATTACATGATACCGAGGTGATTAACACAATTAGTCAATTTTAATTTCTTTTTTCACTAAAAGAAAGTGATATAAATTAACAACTTAACAAATAACGTGACATAATTGAAAGAATATAAACAAAAACACATACATTTTTCAATAGTAATACTATTGAAATATAATTTAAGAATTTAATAATTGCGACCCTTGAATTATTAATAGTTTTTAATATTAAATAAAAATTATTATTAATTTCATAATCACAATTCATTGACTCTCTAGCACCGAGTGTGGGGTGGTCTAGTCGGGTATTAGTCGAATTTTTCATATTGAAGTTAGAGTTTGAGTCTTGAAATTTACATTGCAATTCGATAGTTAACCATTATGCTAGTTTGGAAAAAAGTAACAGGTGCGATTACACACTCTTTTTGGTTCCTCACTTTTTTTTTTATTTATAAAAATCCGTTGACTCTCTAAATTATGTTTGATCAGTATTTATGGTTCAAGAATCTATACCATATACGCACACCCCCTNACATTGAAGTTAGAGTTTGAGTTTTGAAATTTATATTACAATTCGATAGTTAACCATTATGCTAATTTGGAAAAAAGTAAGGGGTGCGATTACACACTCTTTTTGGTTCCTCACTTTTTTGTTATTTATAAAAATCCATTGACTCTCTAAATTATGTTTGATCAGTATTTATGGTTCAAGAATCTATACCATATACGCACACCCCCTCTGGCCTCGCCTACGCCGCCACCCCGGGCCTCCCAACCCATGAAAAAAAGAAATTACACTAAATTCCCTTAATATTTAACACTTAATTACTTACCTCTCTAATATTTAAAATATTATACATAAACTCTTCAAAATTTGTATTCTAAGTGTTAACCTTGCCGTTAGAATATTTGGTAATAAATTTTATTCAAACTCCTTGAAATTTATAAACATAAACTTAGACCCTTCAAATTTAAAATATTATATTTAAACTAAAAATAATTCAACTAAAAATAAAATATCAAATATTTTAAATTTTGTAACCAAAATTTATGTTCTATTATGTTATTTATTAAAATAAAATTAAAAAATAAAATTCTAATTTTTTCCTTAAAAAATCGTAATTAATATACAATTATACTATCTATTAAGCGACTAAACTACCNTTAAATATTTTAAATTTTGTAACCAAAATTTATGTTCTATTATGTTATTTATTAAAATAAAATTAAAAAATAAAATTCTAATTTTTTTCTTAAAAAATCGTAATTAATATACAATTATACTATCTATTAAGCGACTAAACTACCTCAATTAAATATAAAAGATATTGTATCAATAACAATTTGACCATTTGTTTATTTTTTTTAGTTTTATTCCAATAGATAATATAATTGTACTAGTCATAACCCGTGTCTGAAGACACGATAGATCAAAAAATTCGAGTTATAAAAAATCGATATTGCTATATTAAATAATAATTTTTCTTTCATTCATTTATTTGATTAAATTATTCAAAATTTATTTTTACCTACTATTTTCTTGAAGATATTAACAAAATTTTCTCAAAATATGTAATTGGATAAATTTTTTTAACAAATATATATTATCATGTATGGATAATATCTGAAACAAAAATTATGTTAAATAACAAATTAATCAAATATTAAATGGTTGAGTATGTGATAGAAATGAGTGATGTGATGGTTTTGGCGGGGAGAATGTATAGGAGATAAAATTCAATTTTCTATGTATTTTATTATATAGATAATAATAATTAGTTTTTAATAAACAATTAAAATTTTATATTTGTGACATAATATCATGAATTTTGGTTGTAAAATTTTATAAAATATATCTATTAAACTACTAAACTACCTTAATTAAAGATATAAGATATTGTGTCCATTACAGTTTGACCTTTTTTTTAAAATTTTATTCCAATAAATAGTATAATTGTATACTAATTATAATTTTTTAAATTTTTTTTTGATTTTATATCAATAAATGACACGACATAACATAAATTTAAATTATAAAAATTAAAATATTTGATATTATATTTTTGATTAGAGTATTTTTTATTTAAGTATAATATTTTATACTTAAGAGGTCTAAATATTATACATATACAAACTTTAGAGGATCTATATGTAATTTATTAACGGGTATTTAGGGGTTTATGATAATATTTTAAATTTTAAGGGGTTTAAGTGATTAAGTGATATATCACAGGGGTCTGGGTGTAATTCTCCAAAAAAAACAAAAAAAAAAAATAAATGTAGCAGAAGAAGAGGTTTGAACGAAACCTTTACAGGGGTCAAAATGGAGCCTTTCTGCCTCCCATAATCTCCACGTTCTGCGGATCACTCACTCAATATCTCCACCACCTCAAAATCTAGACAAAATTCACAACGATGAGTCTTCAAAAGCCGCTTGCTGTCTGCATTTTTCCATACGTATGTCTATGTCATCGTATACGGGGTTGTTTGGTCTAGAGTCTAGACACTAAAAATTCTACACTCACATTTGCTCAGTTCCTTCAACACATTCTTGCAACAAGATCATACAGAGATTGGTCCACACACGACACACATTAAAACTTAGCTCCTTGAATCTCTCTTCCCTCTTCAACTATTAAAGCTAACCCATCTCCCATTTTTGTTAAACTTGGCGAATCTTGAGGTTCATGGTCTATTCTTTGAAGAAACAATGCCTTTTCTTGGTGGGTTTTGAGTTGTTCTGAGTTTCTTCAAAAGAGTACTTTTATCTTGGTGGGGGGTTTTTGTGTAGCGCTGAGTTTCTTCTTCGGATTGGGTTGCCATGGATACCGGTGATCTTTATAAAGCCAGTAGTAGTTTAAGAGCACAAAGTTCTTCGATTTGGAGGGACAGTGCTATTCAAATATTTTCTCAATCTTCACGAGACGAAGATGACGAAGAAGCTCTTAAATGGGCTTCCCTTGAAAAGCTTCCCACTTTCAGACGATTGAAGAAAGGTCTGTTGCCTGGATCAACTGGTGTGAATGAGGTTGATGTAGCGAATCTTGGGTTTGAACAAAGAAAGGTTTTGATTGAGAGGCTGATTAAAGTAGCAGAAGAAGATAATGAGAAGTTCTTGTTAAAGCTCAGGGATCGAATTGATAAGTAAGATTTTTTCCAATCTTTTCCTTTCGAATTTGCATCTTATTTGTTTTTGGTTTATAAATGCTATTCTATTTTGGTTTTGTCAATAACGGGTTTGTGTTCTTCCGTGGAATTTCTCAGAGTTGGAATTGATTTGCCTGAAATTGAAGTTAGATTCGACCATCTAAATGTTGAAGCAGAGGCTTATGTAGGAGGCAGAGCTCTGCCTACTTTCCTTAACTTCTTTGTTAATATATTTGAGGTAACAACAGGCAAATTTGTGTGTGTGTGTGTGCGTGGGCAGAATTTGATGTTTTTGTTCTTGTTTTGGGTAAATGGTTTTTCATTCTAATATTATTTTTTTTGGTTGTTTCCAACAGGAATTCTTGAACATTTTCCATGTACTTCCTGATAAAAACAAGGCATCTAACTATCCTCCATGATGTTAGCGGAATCATCAAGCCTCGCAGGTAAGCTTGAATCTTAGTTCAAAGTTTTTGCCATTTTTTTTTCTGTTAATTTGCTGGGAAATTTATTTATTTTTTTGTTCATGTGATGTTTCAGACTGACATTGCTTCTAGGTCCTCCAAGTTCTGGCAAGACAACACTCTTGTTGGCTTTGGCCGGGAAACTTGACCGTGATCTAAAGGTATACAGGCATTGCTGCTTTAATTTTTCTGAGGGTCTCTCAATTTTTGTATAGAAGTTTTCTGGAATCGATTTACATACCCAATTTGGACTACGGACATTTTTCATTTCTGTAACACAAGGTTTCCGGTAGGGTGACATATAATGGCCATGGCCTGGATGAGTTTGTACCCCAGAGAACTGCTGCCTACATAAGCCAACATGATCTCCATATAGGGGAAATGACTGTGAGAGAAACGTTTTCGTTCTCTGCTAGATGCCAAGGGGTCGGATCCCGCTATGGTGAGTAACCAAAGCACTTATTCATGTTCTTCTTTGTATACATTCAAACAGCAGACTGTGATTTACACTGTGGTATGTATGTACCTATATGTCGGAATGTGCTAATAGTGATATATTGTATATTTACTGGTTGTTAAATGCATTAATTATTCGTCTTGAACATATGCAGAGATGTTAGCAGAGTTGTCAAGAAGAGAGAAAACAGCGAATATTAAGCCTGATCCTGATGTTGATGTCTTCATGAAGGTAAGAAAGGAGCTACTTTGACTGTTGATTGGGGTAATGTTTATGTAACCGAAGCTCTTATTCATGTTCTTCTTTGTTTCTAATGATGCAGGCAGTAGCAACAGAAGGCCAGGAGGCAAGTGTGGTCACGGATTATGTTCTGAAGGTATTTCAAATCATCTATTATAATATATTAATATTGTAACACTGCACAAGTTTTGTACATTTTCTTTCCAAAACTACGGGTTCTGGGGCTGGAAATCTGTGCAGATACTATGGTTGGGGATGAAATGATAAGGGGCATCTCTGGAGGACAAAGAAAGCGTGTCACAACAGGTAAAACAAACTCCATATCCAACATTGATATAAATAGAATTTTGCTCTGTGATACTGGACTGACAACGAAAATTTTTCATTATTCAACTACAGGTGAGATGTTGGTTGGACCAGCAAATGCACTTTTCATGGACGAGATATCAACTGGTTTGGACAGTTCAACAACGTTTCAGGTTGTGAATTCGCTCAAGCAGTTTATCCACATTTTCCAAGGAACTGCCATCATCCCTCTCCTGCAGCCAGCACCTGAGATTTTTGAGCTGTTTGATGATATCATTCTTTTATCCGACGGCCAGATTGTGTACCAGGGTCCCCGTGAGCATGTACTTGAGTTTTTTGAGTCCTCTGGTTTTAAATGTCCGGAAAGGAAAGGCGTGGCTGACTTTTTGCAAGAAGTAAGTGCAATTTCATTGTTCCTCTGATTTTGTATGAGGGAAAGGAATAATGAGATTACATATTTCACATCTCATATTAGGTATAATGAACAATGAATTTATTATAGGTGACATCCAAGAAAGATCAGAGGCAATATTGGGCACGCAAAGATGAGCCTTACAGATTTGTCACAGTCAGTGAATTTGTTGAGGCATTCCAGTCGTTCCATGTGGGGCGAACACTGGGAGATGAGCTGGCAACCCAATTTGACAAAAGAAAAAGCCACCCAGCTGCTTTGACGACCAAAAATTATGGTGTTCCGAGGAAGGAGCTATTGAAAGCTTGTACCTCAAGAGAATTCCTCCTCATGAAGAGAAATTCTTTTGTCTACATATTCAAGCTCTCCCAAGTGAGTATTTGCTCTAAGCATCTTTCTAAATTTGGGATTCAGTTGCAATCACTAATAATTATTTCTATATGATTGTGTAGGTTTCCATAATGGCAATGATCACCATGATACTCTTCCTAAGAACCGGGATGCACCGAGATTCAACTAATGATGGAGGGATATATATGGGTGCTTTGTTTTTCACTGTGGTCATGATCATGTTCAATGGTTTGTCAGAGCTTGCCATGACAATCGGAAAGCTTCCTGTCTTTTACAAGCAAAGGGACTACCTCTTTTATCCCTCCTGGGCATATGCTCTTCCCACATGGATCCTCAAGATCCCCTTCACACTTTTAGAAGTTGGTCTGTGGGTATTTCTCACTTATTATGTAATTGGGTTTGATCCAAATGTCGGAAGGTAAAGTTCTAGACCAAAAGTATTAATGAATATGCTTACTTTGTAGACAATTTCTTCAAATAGTTCTTTTAAAGTGAAGTTGAAATAAATTCTTTATTGCAGATTGTTTAAACAATATCTGTTGCTCTTACTCGTCAATCAGATGGCTTCTGGATTGTTCCGATTTGTTGGGGCAGTGGGTAGGAACCTGATCGTTGCAAACACATTTGGGTCTTTTGTAATGCTTGCACTTTTTGCATTATGTGGCTTTATCCTATCACGAGGTATGAAATGTAAATTGAAGCTTTGAAACAAGTATTGCATAGCTACACATTGATTAATGATTCTGTGCAATTTGTTCGGTGCCTCAGTGGATGTCAAGAAATGGTGGATATGGGGTTATTGGGCGTCACCAATGATGTATGGGGTGAATGTGATTGCAGTGAATGAATTTCTCGGGACTAGTTGGAGACATGTGAGCCAAATGAGTTTATGGTGTTTGCTTGCATTCTTGTGACCACGTTTGTGTCTCAATTAGAATCAGCTGAATTTTTATTTCACTTTCATNGCGATTGCAGTGAATGAATTTCTCGGGACTAGTTGGAGACATGTGAGCCAAATGAGTTTATGGTGTTTGCTTGCATTGTTGTGACCACGTTTGTGTCTCAATTAGAATCAGCTGAATTTTTATTTCACTTTCATGTCAAAGGTTCTTCCAAATACAACAGAACCACTAGGAGTTATGCTTCTGAAGTCTCGAGGACTCTTCCTATATGCTTACTGGTATTGGATAGGAATCGGGGCATTGTTTGGATTCACAATCCTGTTCAACTTTGGATTCACTGTGGGTCTCACTTATCTTAACCGTGGGTATCTCTACATTATTAGCTCTAAAACTACTTAAACATAACATCCTTCATGGTAATATTCAACAACATTCTGCAGCTTTTGGAAAGCCTCAAGCTGTTGTACCAGAAGAAAGTTAAAGCAAAGGAGAATCCATTGAGTTATCATCCCGAGGATATAGCTCTCTTGGCGGAGTTTCAGCTCAGGGTGATAAAATCTTTTGTACAATGGTTGTGTGCACATTATGTTGTTGTCTTTATTTGCTAACCTGAATTCGAATTGACATGCAGAGAGAGGAAATCAAATTAGAAGTGCTTCATCTCGATCATCAATGAGAACAGAAGCCATTGACGAGGCCAATCAAAACAAAAAGAGGAATGGTTCTTCCATTTGAACCACATTCTATCACTTTTGACGAAATTAAATACTCTGTTGACATGCCACAGGTAACTGCGTAATTGAACAATTGATATGTTTTTATGCATGTGTTTTGACTAAATTAAGCTACTTGTTTAGGCTAAACATTCCAAATATAACGAGTCTTAACTGTTCAAATTGAATTTGCAGGAAATGAAAGATCAGGGTGTTTCTGAAGATAGATTGATGCTTCTGAAGGGTGTGAGTGGAGCTTTCAGGCCAGGTGTTCTTACAGCTCTAATGGGTGTCAGTGGTGCTGGTAAAACAACTCTGATGGATGTGCTTGCTGGGCGGAAAACTGGTGGATACATTGAGGGTACCATTACAATTTCTGGTTATCCAAAGAAGCAAGAGACATTTGCTCGTATTTCTGGATACTGTGAACAGAATGACATTCACTCTCCTCATGTTACTGTGTACGAGTCCCTGCTCTACTCCGCTTGGTTAAGGTTACCTCCAGAAGTTGATTCTAAAACTAGAAAGGTTGGTGCATCCGATTATGTTTCCTATCTTGTACAGCCCAATTAGATATAAACTTCAAATTCCAAAGCAGTGAAAAGTGCAGAGTTGATTGAGTTATTGTCACACTCAAGATCAACTCATATTCAATTACAAATCCTGTCATCCTTGTTCAAGTTTAAGGTGGTCTAAACCTGGTCTAAACTTCATCAACTTAGAGCTCATACTTCTTAGCTTGCCCTGTGGGTAAGCCAAGTTGATGAGCTTGACCTAAAAAAATATATAAAGGTTAATGAGAATTATGGAGCATGAAAAGGTTTATTTTTCTTCATTTTTTTACCAGTGTTGTTGATGAGTTGCGAAATCAACGCATAATTGTTCGGTTGGTGTTTCTCAAGCTCGGGTGTGTCATCAGCCAAACTAAAAAGTTTGAGCGCCCCTAATCGAACAGTGAAATAAGCTGAAGGAAAGAAATTCGAGTTGATGACGATCAGTGTGCTCTTTTTTCCATATTAGTACCATTCAAGTTTTTGTTTTTTCGTGTGCAAGTAGGTGTGCACGTGAGTACTATAGTGATTTTGCTGCTCAAATCTTTGTAAATAGTTTTATCAGCTCCTAGAAAGGCCAACTAATCAGAGAACCAAAATTTTAGTCTGTGAGGAATAGGTGAACAATTCAAAATCGGCAAGAAGGTCATGATTGATTGGCACTTGCCACTATCTAATTCTGATTATTTTCTCCAGATGTTCATTGAGGAGGTCATGGAACTAGTGGAGTTGAACCCATTGAGGGGATCACTAGTGGGGTTGCCAGGTGTAAATGGCCTTTCAACAGAGCAGCGCAAGAGGCTAACCATTGCCGTGGAGCTGGTGGCAAACCCCTCTATAATATTCATGGATGGATGCAAGAGCTGCTGCAATTGTGATGAGAACAGTTAGGAACACTGTAGACACTGGAAGAACAGTTGTATGCACCATCCATCAGCCAAGTATCGATATCTTTGAAGCTTTTGATGAGGTGAAAACTGGAAATATTTTAAACCAATTAGATTCATTTTCTGTTTTCTTCTTTGTATGGGACACTGAAGTATTAAATATGGGATTGCAGCTATTCCTGATGAAGAGGGGAGGACAAGAGATATATGTGGGGCCACTGGGTCACCATTCTTGCCAATTGATCAACTACTTTGAGGTAAGATGGCAACGAACAAATAGGAAATACAAGCAATAAATATCCTACTATTTCAAGTACTTATGCTTAAAATGTAAGGGCTAAAAACATGACTTGCTTTTGAATAAGGGAATCAACGGAGTGAGCCAAATCAAAGATGGCTATAATCCAGCAACATGGATGTTGGAAGTTACTTCTCCAGCTCAGGAAATGATTCTGGGGGTTGATTTTGCTGAAGTACACAAAAATTCGGACCTGCACAGGTTGGGTCAATTGTAATACATTCTACTATATAATGTTTAAGNATGTTGAAAGTTACTTCTCCAGCTCAGGAAATGATTCTGGGGGTTGATTTTGCTGAAGTACACAAAAATTCGGACCTGCACAGGTTGGGTCAATTGTAATACATTCTACTATATAATGTTTAAGATGGTTATTTTGGTCATGGTATTTTTATGCATCTTAAATTTGTTGTTGACAGCTCTGTTGATGTTTTTCATATATTCAGCAGAATCAAGGATCTGATAAGTGAACTAAGTTCGCCTCGACCTGGTTCCAAGGACCTTTATTTCCCTACTCAATACTCCCAGACTTTCCTCACACAATGCCTGGCTTGCCTATGGAAACAACATTGGTCATACTGGCACAACCTGCCCTACACGGCAGTGCGATTTCTTTTCACAACCTTCATAGCGCTGATGTTTGGGACAATTTTCTGGGATCTTGGTTCCAAAAAGTAAGCCGCAAAACACAGAATAAAATATGTCCAGAAACTTAAACATTTATAGTCTCCATTTCCATCTTAAATTTACCTCTCTTCTTTCAAATGTGATGGATTGCAGGACCAATCAGCAAGATCCGTTCAATGCAATGGGTTCTATGTATGCCGCTGTTATCTTCCTAGGGGTTCAAAATGCTTCATCGGTGCAGCCAGTGGTGGCTGTAGAACGAACAGTATTTTATAGAGAAAGAGCAGCTGGAATGTATTCAGCATTGCCTTATGCCTTTGGACAGGTATCTAGTCTTACAATAAAATCTTCAGATTAAAATGATGTCTTAGTGTTTACGTTCATCGAGGAAGTTCATTCTTGTGTTGCAGGTTATTATTGAACTTCCGTATATCTTTGCTCAAGCTGTAGTATATGGAGTTATAGTTTATGCAATGATTGGATTTGAATGGACAGTCGGTAAATTCTTTTGGTACTTGTTCTTCATGTACTTCACATTATTGTACTTCACCTTATATGGCATGATGACTGTGGCTGTGACTCCAAACCACAACATTGCGGCAATTATCGCCTCTGCATTTTATGCAATATGGAATGTCTTTTCGGGATTCTTAATCCCACGCACAGTAAGTTCAGACAATGTCATTTATCTTTAAGATGTGTATAAAATATGCAGAGCTTACGAACTAACTACTTACTATATACCTTTTTCCAACTCCAGAGGATGCCTGTGTGGTGGAGATGGTATTATTGGGCATGTCCAGTTGCTTGGACCTTGTATGGTTTGATTGCATCGCAGTTTGGAGATATAAAGGAAACCCTGGACACAGATGTAGCAGTTGAAGACTTCTTGAGAAGTTACTTTGGTTATAAACATGATTTTGTTGGAGTAGCTGCAGCCGCTGTTGCCGGGTTTGCTGTTCTTTTCACATTCATCTTTGCGTTTTCCATCAAAGCATTCAATTTCCAGAGGCGATAGGGAGCTTTTAGGAGCACGAGTCGCAGCCATTTCCCCTGAGCATCGGATTCCAAAAGGTGTCACTTATCATGTNAGCTTTGCGCATCTAAAGCTTCGAATTACGAGAGGTTCATGTTATGTTTTTTCTTTCCATTCATTAGATACACTGAAAATACATTTTATCTATTGGCGGTAGAATATGCATCTATTGTTCTCAAANCATGTATGTAATGTTTGAGGTTCTCATTGACACTTTCAAAAGCAGGTATTCCTATAAGTATTGCATCACTAAATATGTGTAAGTTGTGTTTTTTTATTTTTTGGGTCCTTTTCCTCTGCGAATTACATATCTACTTTGTTGGATGAGAATGAAATTAATGCAAACGTTGTCCAAATGACATAGTGCCTCTCTCAAACCGGTTTTGAAATCACTCTAGAAAGTGTTATAAAAGAACACCAAAAGTGAAATATTACTGAGTTTTACAGTCAAGAATGGGAATGTGTAGGGACCAAACTCTTTGCTATCCATTTAAATCATGCAAACACGTCTTTACACAATTTGGTGGTCTGTCTATCCATAGTTGGGAGAATTAAAGTTTTTTTCCCGTTTTGTAGGGCGTTGTAAACCTTGAGAACATGTTTATGATGCTATTTACATGTTAGTAGGAAGGTTAGTTAGGGAAAGGAAACAAAAAGGTTAACATGGAATAATACGATCAAANCTTGTATGTAATGTTTGAGATTCTCATTGACACTTTCAAAAGCAGGTATTCCTATAAGTATTGCATCACTAAGTATGTGTAAGTTGTGTTTTTTTTTTTTTGGGTCCTTTTCCTCTGCGAATTACATATCTACTTTGTTGGATGAGAATGAAATTAATGCAAAAGTTGTCCAAATGACATAGTGCCTCTCTCAAACCGGTTTTGAAATCACTCTAGAAAGTGTTATAAAAGAACACCAAAAGTGAAATATTACTGAGTTTTACAGTCAAGAATGGGAATGTGTAGGGACCAAACTCTTTGCTATCCATTTAAATCATGCAAACACGTCTTTACACAATTTGGTGGTCTGTCTATCCATAGTTGGGAGAATTAAAGTTTTTTTCCCGTTTTGTAGGGCGTTGTAAACCTTGAGAACATGTTTATGATGCTATTTACATGTTAGTAGGAAGGTTAGTTAGGGAAAGGAAACAAAAAGGTTAACATGGAATAATACGATCAAAATGACGAAAGTATGAGTAAGTTAAATTTAACATATGGCTTGAATGATGGAAAACTGACTCATGTAGCCCGTCTCTGTCATCACCAGAAACCTCTCTCTCTCTCACCTTGGTTGTCTCATGCCTACATAAGAGGACAGAGCCGCAGACGAAGGTGAGTGAGGTACAGTGTGATTCGCAGCCTGAGGTGCTCTATCTCCCTCTCTTTCTCTCTCCACCGATTTCTTTTCTGAGAGCCTTTGGTCCTCAAACCCTGATTTCAANATGTCTTTACACAATTTGGTGGTCTGTCTATCCATAGTTGGGAGAATTAAAGTTTTTTTCCCGTTTTGTAGGACGTTGTAAACCTTGAGAACATGTTTATGATGCTATTTACATGTTAGTAGGAAGGTTTATTTTTTGGAAGGTTAGTTAGGGAAAGGAAACAAAAAGGTTAACATGGAATAATACGATCAAAATGACGAAAGTATGAGTAAGTTAAATTTAACATATGGCTTGAATGATGGAAAACTGACTCATGTAGCCCGTCTCTGTCATCACCAGAAACCTCTCTCTCTCACCTTGGTTGTCTCATGCCTGCATAAGAGGACAGAGCCGCAGACGAAGGTGAGTGAGGTACAGTGTGATTCGCAGCCCTGAGGTGCTCTATCTCCCTCTCTCTCTCTCTCCACCGATTTCTTTTCTGAGAGCCTTTGGTCCTCAAACCCTGATTTCAAGCTAGCATCGACTTTGAGAGCTAATCTTTAATTCTTGTCAATTCCGACGATAGATTATGGAGGCATCAGATCTGTTTCTCTCTGCAACTCAGGTAATTGTTGCTGTAATTAATCTTTTTTCTATTTTTTTTGGCTGTTTATGTTAGGAGTTGTTTATAGGGCAGTGAATTTNCACCTTGGTTGTCTCATGCCTGCATAAGAGGACAGAGCCGCAGACGAAGGTGAGTGAGGTACAGTGTGATTCGCAGCCCTGAGGTGCTCTATCTCCCTCTCTCTCTCTCTCCACCGATTTCTTTTCTGAGAGCCTTTGGTCCTCAAACCCTGATTTCAAGCTAGCATCGACTTTGAGAGCTAATCTTTAATTCTTGTCAATTCCGACGATAGATTATGGAGGCATCAGATCTGTTTCTCTCTGCAACTCAGGTAATTGTTGCTGTAATTAATCTTTTTCTATTTTTTTTGGCTGTTTATGTTAGGAGTTGTTTATAGGGCAGTGAATTTTCATGTTTGGTTAGGGCAATCGAGAGAGAGAGAGAGAGTAACGTCTGAGGCTAAGACGCTCTTTTCGGTTTTGAATGATTCGAGAGCCGTCGCCTATTCTAAGTAACTCTCTCAATATCCCTAAACTTCTCATCATCTCTCCCACAGATCTGTACTTTGTCGTGCAAATATTGAAATCTGTGTACATTTTCATGACCAAATTTTATGTTTCTAGACTTCGAGCTTTCGATCTGATATAATGAGCTTCGCTTTTGGTTGTTTTCGTGGTTTACTGTAATTTTACGTCAATTTTGGAAGTGTTAACGTGTTTCCTAGAGAAGGTTGACTCATTGCCGAAGGATTTTGTGGAATCTATTACTATTATACAGCTCTTTTAAAATTTATTTATCGATCTACTGTCATTTTCAATTTATTTATCATATTATTGTCGTTTTAAAAGTGGAATTATCAAGTGTGATTTCTCTTAAAAATAGAAATATGCTGAAAAAGTGAATGTACCGTCGTTTTAAAAGTAAAATTATCAAGTCTGATTTTTCTTAAAAATAGAAATGAACCAAGTTCGACTTTATCTTAAAAGCCAAAGTACTAAAACTAACTTTATTGGAAAAGCAGGATTACTAAAGACAACTTCACGTGTAAGCGGACTTATCAAATCCGTTTTTTGTTCTGCACCAAGCCTGTAAAATCTCTGCCTCCACTGTTCTCGCTCCAGTCCTTACTAGTAATTCTCTTCCTCTCTTNGTAACGTCTGAGGCTAAAACGCTCTTTTCGGTTTTGAATGATTCGAGAGCCGTCGCCTATTCTAAGTAACTCTCTCAATATCCCTAAACTTCTCATCATCTCTCCCACAGATCTGTACTTTGTCGTGCAAATATTGAAATCTGTGTACATTTTCATGACCAAATTTTATGTTTCTAGACTTCGAGCTTTCGATCTGATATAATGAGCTTCGTTTTTGATTGTTTTCGTGGTTTACTGTAACTTTACGTCAATTTTGGAAGTGTTAACGTGTTTCCTAGAGAAGGTTGACCCATTGCCGAAGGATTTTGTGGAATCTATTACTATTATACAGCTCTTTTAAAACTTATTTATCGATCTATTATCGTTTTCAATTTATTTATCAAATTTCGTCGTTTTAAAAGTGAAATTATCAAGTCTGATTTCTCTTAAAAATAAAAATATCAAGTGTGACTTTAGCCGAAAAAGTGAATGTGCCGTCGTTTTAAAAGTGAAATTATCAAGTCTGATTTGTCTTAAAAATAGAAATGAACCAGGTTCGACTTTATCTTAAAAGCAAAAGTACTAAAACTAACTTTATTGGTAAAGCAAGATTACTAAAGACAACTTCACGTGTAAGCGGACTTATCAAATCCGTTTTTTGTTCTGCACCAAGCCTGTAAAATCTCTGCCTCCACTGTTCTCGCTCCAGTCCTTACTAGTAATTCTCTTCCTCTCTTCCCTTCATTTGATACCCGAAAAGCAATAAGAACTCCATTGTTTCAATCTTTTTAGACCTTATCAACAATAGCTTCCATGAACCCACAAGTTATATACATCTCTCTCTCTCTCCACCTCTCCCTTCATATATATGTTGTATTTTTGGCCATAGATATGACGGTAATGCATTTTAATATAGATACATCCGTTGATGTTTGATTTTTGTTGGGTTTTTATGATATTTAATGTCCTTTATCTTTGCGCATCTAAAGCTTCGATTTCTCATCGTCTCTTACTCCATTTTTTCCCTTTTTTCTTCTGTATATAAAAAGAGATTATTTGGGTTTTTTGCTTTGAAACGTTTTGTTGACTAGTTTGTGCAGATTGTTCAATGTTTATGCTTAAATTTTTATATTAGAGCTCTGATTTTTAATTGTCCATAATATATATTTATAATTTTTTTTGTTGCTTTCGTTGAAGCTTTTTGT